CCCCCCCAAATCTCTCTCTCTCTTTCTCTTTCTCACAGCCTCCTATTCTCTAACTATCTGTTGACTTTCTGCTTCTTTTTTTCCTGGCTGTCTGTCTGTCACCCTAAGCCCTTATCCCTAAATTCCATTCTTCTCCCTAGTCTCATCATTTTCTTAGACAACAATTTCCATAACAAGGCGACTCATACTCAAAGCATGAGACATCCTGTCTCAGACGAACCTCCGAGCGCCATCGGTCCACACAATAATCCTACTGGTGGCACAGAACAAGTCGCCAATATTTGTTCAGTCGGTCTACGTATTAGCATTCCTCGTGTACCTCCACTTTCTGAGAATTGCCCGACGCCATGAAATCCATAGGCCGGAAGGGCACGTGTCAAAGTGACAAGGAATAACGACCCTTTGGTAAAATTTTCTTTGTCGTTTCGACTTCTACGTCGGAAGCAATGGACACTAAACCTTATGATCAGTTTTCCCAATCGTGTACAAAGTGACAACTGCTGTAGTGCGAAATGATACTTTCTTTAGTGTTGAAATATTTTATTGTTGCAGTAATATTGCGAAAAATGACTTGCTGTTTATTTTATATTGGTGATGTGAAGTGGTTTGCACTATACAAAGGTACCAGCGCAAACTTTTATGTTTAAAAGAAATACACAATATTCCACTAACAAAGAAAAGGCAAAACTTTTTTAAGGATACACCCTAGAAGGTGACATTTTAAGAGGGTATAAACGTAGCAAATATTATCAAACTAACTAGGCCCCCCCCCCTTTCGATGAAAGGAATGATCGGTGCTTTAACATCAACTGAAAGTCATTGGCCTACAGTAACTATATTTACACTCTACTGGAATGGAGCAAAAAATCTTGAGAGATGCAAAACATTAGGTTTATATCTACTATACTCTCAGAACAAAATGCGTCTCGCGAAATGTCACATCCGGCACTTCCGTTGTGAAGGACAGCTACGCAGATTTGTTTCGTTTCTCGGTGGAATAATCACAAAAGCCAAAGAAGGACGGGAACTGTTTGTCATAAATACATTTTTGCTCAATTCAGGAAATGAATAAATAAAAAATCGAGCTCCGTCTATCTTTTTGGAGGTACTTGCCAACTTTCAATTCTGCAGCTGTTGTAGTTTTATGGGAAAAGTGTCACATGTATTTCCAAGTTGCAAATATATA